AGAAAAATGGCCGCGGACCGTGTGTCAGGGGCAGAAAAATGGCCGCGGACCGTGTCACGGGAGGGAAAATGGCCGCGTATCCTGTTCGTACCCCGAGGCGGAGTTAGCAAACCAAAGCAAAATTTTGCGGCCGGAGCTGGTCATAACCTGAAAAGTTCGTTAACAGAAGCCTTCGTAACCCGAGGTTCCACTGTATTGTGGGAACAAAACATTGTGGATGTGAATCTATGCAGGAAGCTGGAATGCTGCTGTGCTGGCTCTTAGGCCTTTTGCATTCCTGTTGTGCAGACCTTGGTAAACCTCACAAGACTGTGGAACTAGGAACAATCTGGAGAATGATAATGTTTTGTTGATCTGAGTGGGAGGTAGATAGAAACTGCAAGCTGAGAAAATTACAAGCAAAAGATGAACTTTGAAAAAGCAGCTCTGAGTGATGGAGCTTAATTGTCCGCACAGAACTTAAACGTTGCCAGCCAGAGCTATCAAATGCACCAGTACAGTTTTGAAGTTACTGAAAAATCGTTGCCAGCCAGAGCTATCAATGGATTAAAATTAGGTAACATTTTTCTGGAGAATTTCTTCTCTACAGGACCAGAAATAGAACATTAAAAATATATTCAATATTCCTGTATAGACTCCTTCTCCCCCCTCCCCACCGCATCACTTCCAGACTAACTTAAGTATTTCCAGATGCAAAGCTGGCAAATTATGCCTTGGGAGGTTGTGTTGTGTTGCAGGATTGACAACACCAGCCTAAACCGAATGAACTGTGTTTGCTCATCCGTCTCCATTCCTTTTTGCTCCCCAAGCTAGATGGCTCGCTTGCAGTTGCTATGCATTTATCTTTGTTTGCCTTGGATTTTCTGAGTTAGGACTGCAGACCTTTGGTTGAACTTGAAGCTGTTTTGGAGGCGAGTTTCACATTTCAGTGTGAAACTGGCTCTGCTTCTAGCTTTCCTGTGGCTTTTTGTCACAGGAGTAGAGTGGCAGTTTTCCAACCTGTGAATCAGGGTGAGGAAATTCCTAGGGCGGTAACTTTATAACACACACATACTCATGCAACTCTCGGAAACCTTTCCCTACCTCCTCTTGAGCATCACGTTACAACCTCCCTTTTCTTAACACTCTTTTGGTAGATCCATAAGCAAGCTCCACCCCTTGAGGACATTGCTGAGGACTGCAGTGCTAGTATGAGGCGGTTACTGGAAGCTGCCCTTGAAAGGAACCCAAATCAGAGACCTTCAGCTACAGAACTGCTCAAGCACGAAGCCTTGCACCCACCACGGGAGGAACAGCCTCGGTGTCAGAGTTTGGACTCAGCTCTCTTTGAACGAAAGAGGTTGCTGGAGAAGAATGAGTTGGAACTATCAGAGAATATTTCGGGTATAGTCTTCTCTTATCTCTCGCTATTTTCTATACTTAGGCAAAAACCCAAGCACTTCCCATTGAAACCTACTAATAAAAGTCTGAAGGCCAGCAAAATTTGCATCTAAGTGCAAGGCAGAAACCTCCCTGACTTCTCAACAGAAAAGGCTTTAGATTAAATGTATGATTCCTGCAAAATCAGTTCAGTGACAAATTCACATTGACATCTCAGAATCTCAACAAGTATTTTGGAGCTTCCAAAATTGTGTAGTACAGGTGGTCCTCAGGTTTGTTTGTTTATTTATTAAACTTGTCCCCGCCCATCTCCCCCCAATGGGGGACTCTGGGCAGCTCACA